CATCACCAATTCATTATTTCATCAATACTCAAATATGAGTTAGATTGCGGGGTTATGTATCGATCAAATCGAGTCACTCTACCTGAAAAAATATATAATCTCAGAGTTTTCGTCCAAATTTTACTTGTTTTTCTAGTTCAACCAAAAAACTCCTCCACATCTAAATACTTACTCTAATGTGTTAGTCTATGTTACATCACTTTCAAAGCAAAGCATAACTTCGTATCGATAGTATCTTTCGATATTTGATATCCATTTTATCAAAGTCCAATGTTCTTTTCCTAGATTAGAAATTCTTAATCACTTCTTCAAACCTTTTTTATATAAGCTCAAGCAACACTTGCATCGTCAAACTTTTTTCTTCTTTAATTTGTCGATCATCCAAATAAAATGGGTTGTGTTCTTAGTTCTACTAAAAAAACACCGTCAAATTCTAACACCAAATTACAAATCTCAACTACTCATAGATCTCCACCATTAACCCTTCCATTTCTTGAACAAGAAGAAGAAGTCAAAGAAATTCTATCGGAAACTCCAATTATTATCAATAACCCCATAAACCATAGTATTCATGACGAAAATATTAATATTCTCGAAAAAAAATTCTCTATCGAAAAAAATCAGTCCCACAACATTCATGATACTCATGTTTTCAAAATTGCAAGAATTTTCAATCCTAAAGATGAACTCTCCCGGGTCGGGTCGGATGAAAAGGAGATAGCTCGAGAGCCTAGCAAGAGCATCCGGGTCGGGTCAGACCCGAAAGAGATGACCAAAGAACTCAGTAGGAGCATCCGGGTCGGGTCAGATACGAAAGAGACGATCAAAGATCTCGGTAGGCCTATCCGGGTCGGGTCGAATTCAAAAGATATGATCATAGATATCCGGCAGAGGTCTCCAGCAAATTACCGGAACAATACATCTCCAGTCAAAAGATCGGGTAACTTATCCGGGTCGGGTCAGATCCGTAACACATCTCCAGCTAGAAAGTCTGATCATCTATCCGGGTCGGGTCAGGTCCGGAACACATCTCCAGCTAGAAAATTCGATCACCTATCCGGGTCGGGTCAGACCCGGAATAACTCTCCAAGTCGGGTCCGATCAGGAAAGAATATGGGCGGGTTATCGAGAAAAGATAATGGTGAGTGTTCAGGTAGGAGATCAAGGTCACCGGTGATATGTGGAGATCAAATTAGCGGAGGAACGAGGAACAGCATAAGTCGATGCCCGTCTACGAGGAAATCAGGTAGGTCACCGGGAAGGGTGAGATCGGAATTGGGTGACCGGCGCCGGAGTCCGGCGGAAGCTGGAAATGGTAATAGAGAAAATAATAATAATTACAAGAGGTCTTTGACAAGTGGAAATAATGAATCTATTGAAAATCCACTTGTGACCTTAGAATGTTTTATTTTTATTTAAAAAATAAAAATAAAAAAATTAGTTGGAGATTAATAATTCTTGAGAAAAAATTGTACCATAATGTTAGATTGGATATTTAATTAATCTATGTTATTTTTCTTCCTGTTTCATTTTGTTTGGTATTATTCTTATTATTTAGTTTTAAGAAAGACGAATGACACATTTTTATAATTATTTAATGACAAATTTTTGTAATCATATAAATATTAGGTATATTGAAGACCACAAAGTACGTGCATTGCTTTTTTGGAGTTTATGAGTCATAAAATAGAAATTTTAAATTATCTCAATTTTTCATGTATACTCCCTCCATTCCATATTGATTAAAAAGTTGAGACATTTTTTATTTTTCAAATTAACTTAATTGTTCAGTTTTTAAGACTACATTTAAAGTGTTCTTCCAATTTTACCCTTCATTAGTTGGTATTGAAATTAGTGATTAATTAATATTTAGTTATTTTAATCATAAATTTAACAATAACTAATAAGGGTAAAAATGAAAAACGCATTTTTCATTTTTCAAATTAACTTAATTGTTCAGTTTTTAAGACTACATTTAAAGTGTTCTTCCAATTTTACCCTTCATTAGTTGGTATTGAAATTAGTGATTAATTAATATTTAGTTATTTTAATCATAAATTTAACAATAACTAATAAGGGTAAAAATGAAAAACTATGTTCAATTTATGTCTTAATCTACTTTTCTTAAAGGGTGTGAAACATCTCAAAAATTCAATTAATATGGAATGAAGCGAGTATTAGGCTTCATTTGTTTTCATTAAGATTAAGACCTCTGAATCTGAATACACGTCTGAACATTAAGATTTGCATTAAGAGTTAGGTGTCTAGATCTGAATACACATCTGAATATTAAGATGCGGTCTTCAAATTTGAACACTGAATGATTATTGTTTGTTTTCAATATCTGAATGTGCATATGAAATCAAACATTATACTAATAAAATGTTATAAAAAATTCATTTCAACAAAAAATATTACTTTTTGATTAAAAAAATATCATAATCATAAGCATAACATAAACAAAATCACGAATAAAAAGTATTTTATAGGCACAATATAATATCAAAAGTTCAATAAGTTTGATAAATACTAGTTGAAAAATAATAAATAAGGTATCACATTATCAGCACCTAACATATATTTTGGCTAATTAGAAAAACTAAAGAATTCTTATCTTTTTTCCGATAACCTTAATCCAATTCTCTAACTTGTGAACCTCTAACGCCATTCATGTTTTTTTGTAGTGGACACTTTCACAAAATATACTAACACATGTATTGTATAATGACTCTTCCCATCTAAGTCCATCTAATTTTTCCATATATTCTTCAAATGTAGGTGCACTATTTTTTTTAATCGATAACTCCAGAGCAGTAATCATCTTCTCATCAATTGCCAATTCAGACAAATAAGTTTTTTCTCTTTCCCAAAACTTTTTTTTTTACGCTGAAAATGAAGATTGAGATGGATAATTATCAAGAGCTCCATTATTTTTGTCACCAACTAATTCAACAACAATAATATATTAGTGTTATCTCACAAACAGATTTGATGATCAAAGAGTCTCAATAAAATTATTGGCCTAAGATAAAATTCTAATAAGAGACCTCAAATATGTATACATAGTTATAATTTTTAATTATGAATATTATTATTTTCACTCAAAAACCTTGATGAACATCAATACACGAAAAATATTATTGCAACAAGTGTTCTTGACAAACATCAATACACCATAAGAAAATTATTAATATAAAAAAATACTTGTAAAGAGTATGAAAACTTACCAGTTCAAGAGGGAAAAATTGGTGTTTGATTGAGAAAAGAGGAAGAAAGTTTGTAGTTGTGAGAGCAAAAGTCACGCAAGTATCGAGAGAGGCGAAACAGTATTATTTTATAACTTATTAAATAAGTCTGAATGGTGTTAAGACTTTCCTGAAGATCTAATCCGTTGAGGCTTTTTGAAAAAAGAAACAAATGGACTTACTGGGCTGAATTCAGATTCAGACCTAAAAACCAAACACACTTAATGGACTGAATCTGAATGATTAATATTCAGACCTCCATTAAGTGTAAACAAATGAGGCCTTAGTCTATGAATTTTTTGAAATATGTGTGACAAACTTTGTTTGGGTTAAATTTTTTTGTCTCCATTCGTGATGACCTAGTAAATGACGTTGTTTTTCAAGAACATATGTTACTTTTTTTTGAAGTTCATGTATTACAAATAAAATTTTAAGATTATTTAAATTTTTCATGTATATTTACCAATAATTATTTCAAAATATATATGACTAATTCTACTTGAACTAAAAAATTATTAATTTATTCATCATGACCTAATAAATGATCATAAATATTAATTATACATTTCATGTGTGAAGAGTATTACTTTAAAAAAAATATGTGTACGCACAATTAAACATTATCTTATAAAATAAAATGGAAGATATATCTAACAAGGAGATGCATGTGAGATTTAAAGGGAAACTTAATGAGATCGCATTTATATATATTTGATACAGTTTGTGCATTGGGAAAGTTTGACTAATATTGAATAGTTGTGACTTGTCATTGTCAATGTTGCGGTGGAATGAATATTATCTTTTATTTTTAATTAAAAAATTTCAATTTGAGTTTTGAGAGTACAAAATCGAGGCACTTTCTCCTTTAATGAATCTTACTTGGAGTGAATCGATATTAATCAGTTCACAAAATTAAATATTAAATACCATATGGAAATAGAGCAGAGCTAGAAGCACGGATATTGATTAGTCGAATTAATAGATTTTGATCAAGTATTTTTATATTTAAAAAAAACTTATTAAATATATACAAATATTAAATTTAGAATCCAATTATAACACTTCATATCATATTCTAAAATTCAATTGTTAAAATTCTGGTTTTTGTCCCAAGAAAAAAAAAACAAAAAAAAATTATTTATGTGACATTTCATTTTTCGACAGTCAAACAATTTAAGTTTAACAAGAAATTTGCGTATGAAATCTTTAATTTTTCTGAAATAAAATTTATATATTTGTAAACTACATAAAAATACTATTAATCATAATAATTGATAATTCAAAATATATAAAAAAAATTACAATAAAAAAATACACTTGTTTGAATTTTAAAATCCGAACTATGTCATATAAATTGGGACGAAGAGTAGTTGTTACTTGTCAGTTGTCACCATGGGGCAGGTTCACACTATTATGCCACTATGTTCATCTCAACAACCCTCAAATGACCTAATGAAAGAATGAGAAAATTTGGCAAAAGACAAAGTAGAGGCAATTACGATTTCAACAAAACTCAATAATTTTGATCTAAATTTTGTATTTGTGTTAAAAAAATTATTTTACAGATAAATAATCTTATTCTGATCCAATAAGATGTTTTGTCCTAAAATTCATAACTGATAAAATCTTCGATTCGCCTCTGATACTCACTGGTACTTTTGTATGATTGCATAAAATACAATGAAATGGTCAATAATTTTGGGATCCAGTCATAGACAAGAAAAACAATTATAACAACAATTACGGTCGTCGATCTGAAAAAGGTACACAAACTTTTCATTTTATGAAGGTAGAAAACTGTTTCAGAAAAACCCTCAAGCTCAATTAAATAGATAAGAAAAGCTTTGAACAAGTCAATACCTAAATGCTATATGTACATTAAATTAAGGAGCCAAGGGGAGGAACAAAAAACCAAATGGTGAACTCCATCATTTTGGTATTTTGAATGTTTATTGCCTTCAAATTGAGCTAGCTAGGATTGTGCATTTGAGTCCAAGTTCAAGAGACCGGGCAAGGAATTCTGTTGATGGAGAGGCCATGGATTGCGTTCAGGAGGACAGGGTACGGGAGCAGGATTGGCTAGAAAAGTAGGGACATCTTCTCCTGGCATCAACACTGAAACTTCTCGAGCCTTCGTTGACACCTAAAGCCATAATGAAGTTAATAAATCACATTGTTAATAAATCTTTCAAGAAACTAATGAAGTACAAACCAAGCAAGCTAGACTTGATCATGTCATGTAACAGAATTAGTAGTAGTACTGAAGCAACCATCTTTCTAGATTGTAAAACATTGAGTTGATTAGATGTCGAAACAACAGATCATAGCTAGATAAAAATTAGAGGTCATTTTGTTTTATTTAGCACACAAATGTAGGACAATAGTATTGGTAGTTTGACCCCGTCAACAACAACATATCCAATGTGATCCCACAGATGGAGTCTGGAGAGAATAGAGTATATGCAGACCTTACTCCTACCTTTTGTGGTAGAGAAGTTGTTTTCAGTAGACCCTCGGCTCAAGAAAGACATTAGGCTGAACCCGTTAACAAGTTTTATATATATATACTTTTTTTTTCCTCTACACCTAGTACAAATACACAACGCAAAGGAAATCCAATCAAACCCCGTTCACCGTTCACCATATACTGCCTCTGCCATATCTTCAGAATTGGTACATGGTATATGACTGATGACACTTTGTTTCCCCCTCCTCTAAGGGCATTGGTTTAGTATTAAGAGTGCATCTCATGATGTGTGAGTTAAGGGCACATCACGAGTTTCAATCAGACTAATTAAAGCATACTACTTGAGTAGGGAAGGATAAAGGGATGAATACTGAGAAATGTGCTAGTTATGCCAGAATAAGGATCTTATTCTTCCATCATATCCCATCTATAGCCAAGTTTGTATTGATTCCAAGGATTTGTACGTTTTTCGAGACAAACTTTCCTCTATCTAAGTCAGGTAATACTCCACATCCTTATAACAACAAACCATAACTTCTCTCATTGTATCCTCAAGATGCGCGACATGCACTTTCTGATGAATGTGGTCATTTTCAATCTTATCTAGTCTTGAATGACTGCAAATCCATGTTAGATTCCGCATTTTTCGCAATACTAATCTTATGGAAATGATATTGGGAGACCGGGGAAGAATCCAATAGTTATTATTGGTAGCTCTAGGGTGCAGTCGAAACCTGTAGCCTGTAGGCGGTAGAAACACAATCAGAGACAACACTGGTGATTACTCAAATAGTTCACACAAACAACCACCGGGGTTCATGTAACCACAACAGACATCCTGGATGGTCAGGAAAAACTTTGGAAGCAAGAGATAAATTGAACTATGTGAAGAATACACCTAAGAAAAACTGCAGTTTGAGAAGACTCATCTGTTTACTTATATGTGTGGTGTAAAGCAGAAAATGAAACAAGAGATCGATCATATCGGGTGAGGGCATTCTTCCATTGCAGAGCTTAAAGAAGGGGACTCTTTCGATAGAGCTAAAGCAGCCATTCATTAATCCACCCTCGACATACTAAGTAAAGCATTCCCGTATAAAAGAAAGGCTACTGACTTGGCTGATTCAACAATGGAAAAAGGCATCCGTTCAAATTGCTCTCATTTCTATATTGAAACCAAGAGAAACAAACGTCGTTGGAGCCTTCCACTCTATCTGTTCCTTTTTCATTATCATAAACGTTCCTAGATTGTTGTTTTACTATGAAGATATGGAAGAGAGACTGTCTGTGCAAACTCGACATTTAAGCAACAAAGACTAATTAATATCATGTTTACACTGATCGGATTTTAAAAAGTCCTTCACCCCTTATCTTCTCATCTATATTATTTATCTTCTGATCAGATTAACTGCCTTCTTTCAAGCCCTACTTGAAAGGCTTGCTTTCTTTATTAAGAGTCCTTTAAGAAGCTAAGCTTCTTGAGATAGTAAGATCCACTTTAACTTCATATATACCTCTAAGTGTTCGTGAGTCATGACTATCCGATGATAGTCACTTCACCTTCCTTTTAGGCTGAAAAGGAATGCAAACTCGACATTTAAGCCGAATCCCTTGAGTGCTTAGGCGGTGCATAGCAGCCGGTTCTAATTGCATTCACCAAGATAGTCTTGCTCACTCGACGAAACAAAAAGTTTCAGCAATGTTGAACTTCTTGAAGTTAGTAAATTGCAGTTTTTTTTAATGTAAGATACTGCTGCAGAACTACTTTGTTACTACTTACTACTTAGCTTCAGTGTCCTGATTGTGTTTAGATTAGCTGTGTTATAGATACTAGAAAAGCCCTGACTCAGGGGCAAAGCTAGAGCTTCGCCTACAGGTTCGGTAAAACCTTGTATCCCACAAATGGGGTCTAGGTTTGGTTGAGTGTATGCAAATCTTACTCTTACCTTGAGAGGTAGATAGGTTGTTTCTGATAGACCCCAGCTCAAGGAAAAGCAATTCAAAGCAGTTCGGAAAAAGATCATGACACAGTTCGGAAAAAGCAATATGAAAAAAAGGAGCATCAACTACAACAAAATATGCTACGATAACCGAGGTACAAGAAACAACAAGAGTAATACTACGACTAACTAAATTTCTATTCCTACCTTTCTGCATTTGTATTTAAAAATCGATTCAATGTATAAACAATTTATCAAGAAACCAATATTCTTCATTTTCTAGAATCCAAAAATCATAAACTCGAAATCCTAACTCCGCCTTTGAGCTAACTGTGATTATTTACTTGTTGATTAACAATTACAAGGACACAGATACAACATATATATTAATTACCAATTACCCTCATAAAACAACTTTTTAGACCAAAAATTCAAGCTAAAGACACTTACTTTAGGTGTTTGATGACCAAGTTTTCCATAGAAGCTCATCTGAGACTCAATGTCACCAAGATTCCGGCCACGGGACGTCGATAAAGCTGGTGAATTGGGCCTGAGAAACCTCTCAAAAATAGCCATGACAAGGAACATAGAAATAAGAATGGCAGTGGCAACAAAACCAAAAGAAACAGCGTTAACAGAATTGTCAAAATGTGTCCAATGATCATCTTTTGTTATGTACATTGGTGATCCACTTGGTGATGGTGGCCAACCCCACCCGTCCACTTCTCCCATTCTTCTGTTATACCAAAATCAAGAACACCAAAAAAGGTCAAAAACCAATCAAAATCATGTCTTTTTTCACTCTTGTTTTTTTTCAAGAATTTGGGAAGACAGTAAAGGTATTACAATTGCCAAAACAAGAACTAAAAATGTTAAATAGCAACCAAGATCATGTCTTTTTTGGTGGAAGCCTTATACTTATCTCGGATTGTCAATTGGACCCTTCTACTACACGAAGCTTCAACCAGACACTTAAACTCGAACAAAATAGGAAGACGGTTGATGGTAATTTTATGAGCTTTTCAAGATTTTGACACCATTTATAACCCAGAACTTAAAATGTCAAAAACAAACCAAAATCATGTCTCTTTTTTATTTCAAGAAACCAAGAAATTGGGAAGATAGTTATGGTATTATAAGTACCAAACCAAGAACTAAAATTGTCAAATAACAAACGAAGATCAAGTCTTTTTAACTCTTCTTTTTTCAAGAAATTGGGAAGATAGTTATGGTATGATAATTACCAAACCAAAAACTAAAAATGTTCAAAAAAAACAACCAAGACCAAGTCTTTTTAACTTCGTTTTTCAAGAAAACAATAAATTGAGAGGAAATTGTGGTAGGTTTATGAGCTTTTCAAAATCCAAAAAATGAAGCTCTAAAAGAGTAAAAAAAACCAACAAAAAATATATCCTCTTTTTTTCCAAGAACTTGGGAAGACACTTGATGGTAGTTTTATAATCTTTTCAAGATTTTGACACCATTTAACCAAGAACTTAAAATGTCAACCAAAAAAGAAAAACACAACCAAGATCATGTCTTTTTAACTCTTTTCTGTTTTTCAAGAAACTCAAGACATTGGAAACACTAGTTTTATGAGCTTTTCAAGATTTTGACACCATTATATAAAAGGAACAAAGTACTAGACACTAGTCAAGACATGAAGGAGAAAGAAAAGAAGGAAAAAAAAAACATGAGGGGTTGGGTTTTTTTTCACTTTATAGACAGAGGTGACATGAATTTTCTTGAAAAAGAAAAAGAGAACTTTGGGATTTGAAAGCAGAGAAATTTGAGCTGAAATTAGCTTAACCCTGTGAAGACTCTGGTGCACTGCAGCAGCCAAGTCTCAAGATTGTCTTTTTCCTTAGCTCTTTTATAGTACTAATATATACTCCTATTTTTGTTTTGATAAAGTTGAACAAGCAAATTTACGGGTCTTACGTGCTCTAATATAAATTAATTTGAGTGTTTCTCTTGTGAATTGACACAAAGAACGTCATGTAGGATGCGTGTGTGTAATTGTTCAACTTTATATAAGTTTAAGTATCTACTTGTGTATATCTAAATTGAAGGACATACATGTCAGCTTAGGCCAAGTTAAATAAAGGGCTTGTGTATAAATCATGTCAAAAAATAGTGATTACTATGACGTTATCCTATAACGTCGAGGTATTACGATTTTCATGCCACCTCAACTTAGTGTACGAATGAAGGGCAAGAGTGTACCACGCAAGCTCTATATTTTTCGCCAGCTTTACCTCTAGTAACCCATTGAAGAAGCCACATTGGAATTACTTTTGCATACCAAAATTGAACGACGTAGATGCCAGCTTAAATCAAGTTAAAGAGGTCGTTTATAAATTATGCCAAAGAAAAGATAGTGATTACTTTGACGTTAACCTATAACATCAAAGATATTACGATTTTCATGTCACCTCAACTTCGTGGATGAATGAAGGGCAAAAGTGTACCACACACGCTCTATGCTTTTAGCTAGCTTTACCTCTAGTAACCCATTGAACAAGCCACATTGGAATTACTTTTTTCTTTTTATCTTTGCAAATTGCAAATGATAGGAACACAAGTGATGGCACATTGGCATGGGGCCAATGGGCCCTTAGAATAGGGCCCATTAGTTCACTTTTTTCAAATCAAAGTTCATCACACATGGCCCAGCCAAATAACACTTGTGCTTTTGTCTAACTTTGAATAGCCTCCTCTTCTTGGTCACTATTTTTGCAAATTAATTTGAAAAGACTTGAATTTTTCAAAATGAACTAAGTATATAATTCTAAAAACTTCTTTTTGACAATCTAGATCTATTATCATTTAAAAAAACACAGTCCAAATTAAATTAAATTTTCTTAAATCTATTTATACAACGTAATTTTTAAATATAAGAGTATTAGTTCATCCCCTTGTACAATGGCGGATCACCACAAGATGGATCGAAAAAGGAGATAACAAAAAGAAAACTATGAAAATTACACTCACACTTATTATATGAAGAAAAAAAATCTTATAAATATCACTATACTGTAACTTTTTAACCTTATCTATAAAGAGAGGCTCATACAAACGTAAAAATCTATTTACATCGAGTATTTTTATTAAATTATACTATATAGTGGAGTATGTATACATACATAAAATATATATTTATTAATTTGATATAAATATTCAATTTATTCGGAAAAATATAAGTGAGCTGTTTTTTTTTTCCTTCTTATTATTATCTATACATACATTTATTTTAGAGAAAAAGACATGTTAGTGGTCCCTTATATATTGTGCAATCAAAAAGCTAAACTTTGGTTCCCTTACGTATACACCTTTCAATAAATTCTTCCTTAAAAAATACTCCCTCCGTATTAAATTATTTATCATATGTTTTTGTATTTTTTTTCAAAAACTTAATCAAGATTATTTTTATTTTTTGTTTGAAAATATAATTTTATTTATCAAATATTTATTCTACTAAAGTATTTGTATTTTTCAACCACAATTACTGCTAGAAAGAAATATTTAATTCTATCTTAAACTTTTGAAATGATAAATAATTTAAAAATCACAAAGATAAATTGAAATGAATGAAGTAATCGTAGAAAAAAAATAGGCAGTAGTAAACTGTGGATTTACAAAAAAAAAAAATCAAAAACCAAAATCTCTCTCACTGGTCCCACAAGCCACTTGATGACACGTGTCAATAAATGTCCTCCAGCTCATCATTATCCACGTGGCATGAGTTGGTTTTATCTGGCTTAACATATTACTCAAATTAATAAATAATACATGCATTTTAAATTAAATAGTATGCTTGTCGTTTGGTTGGTTGCATTACTATAACGACATTTGAACTATTTTTTCAATTCACAAAAAAGTATTTAATAAATTATTCATAAAGGGATTGAGACTTAAAAGAGATGATGTAGTCCAATCAATTTTGGTTTGAATGTATGTAAATTGTATCTTTACTTCGTGACGATAGAGAGGTTATTTTTGAAAGATCTTTGATTCAAGTGCATTAAATCAACATATATAGTTTTGAAAAAGAACAATAATAAAATAATGTGATCTGAAACACAATAGATGAACAGATATCAAAAATAAGAAACTATATGAATAAGGCTAATATTGCGACAAACATTGTGCTCCACACCCTAACCATGCCTAATTCTATTGAAATGCGAGACAACGCTTAATACCCTACTAACCTTCTACTCTAATTTGTAATCTTCATACTCTTCAGCTATCTAAGATTGTATTCTCAATTTACGTCATGTCTTATTTTATCGACTCTCTCCAATATTATTCTGGTTCACCATTATCTCTCTTCTCACGCCTACTATATGCAACCTTTTACACCTTAATTAATTATTAAATAATTACTATAAACAAGGTAAATAATACTCCTTATGTTTCATATTAGCTGATCATTTTCTTTTTTTACACGCATATTAAGAAATCATAAATAAGAAGATAATTTTATTAATTCACCCCTAGAAACTTCTTGAATTTTTTACAAACAAATGTGAATACTTTCAAAAAGAATTAATTGAAAGAATAATATAAAAAATTAATTAAATTAATCCTTTCTTGATTTAGTAAAATAGACAATTAGTGTGAAACAACTATTTTTATTATAATAATCAACTAATATGAAACAAAGAAACTGCGACGTAATTTAAATTAGATTACATTAATTCAATATTTTAAATAAAAAATTTAGATATTCAAAAAGTATAAATTCCATTTTTTTGCATATCAACATGATGAAAAAATATATCGTAAAACATTAATTAAAATTATTATCGTTTGACACTAAACAAGAAAATTATGACAATTAAAAATGGATCGAGTAATATATATATGTCATCTCTTACCCTACTACCCGACATGTCATCTTATTGTCGGATTTCCCAGGTTTAAGGGACACACAAATCTCAACATATCGACGGCTACAATTACTTACAGTACTTTTTGTCGTACGATCTCCATCGTTAGATCATCTTGGTCCACGAGTCAATTCAACGACACAATTTAGTCAAAAATAATTAAAAAAACACAAACGCGCATGCAAAATGAACAGTCAACTACGCACGTGAGATCGCGTGCGTTGCGTGTGAAATTCAATGGTTTTTTTAAGGTTTTCGTCTATACGTGTAAATACACTTATTATGTGCATGATTATAGTGGTGGATATCCTTTCATCGTCCGTTTCTATTTACGTTTTGTCTTTACTAAAAATATATATTTTTTATTTTAATTGGTCTATTATATTAAAAATAATTATCTAATAATACTTATTCAGTTTGAAAAATCAAGAGATAACATACCTCTTAGTTGAAATTCTAGTTTTGTTGCTAAGCATGAATATAGTGTATTCTACTATAAAGATGAGCAGGGAGGATCTATATGTTTGTGTGGGGGTGCCACGACACCCAGCGATCTCGGTTAAAACTTTCTATATATATGTGTATATGTATAAGAAATTGTTATAGATTAAATTTGCCACCCATTGAATAAAATGGTGATAGGTGCCGTTGGCAAATGGAACGGAATTCCACACCCGCAATGCGGATTCGATTCTCGCTCTCAACATTATTATTATTTGGATTGCTCTTCTATGAACTGAAAAGGCTTCTCAGCTCTTTCTTTCCATTTTTTTTTGTCTTTTTTATTCATTGGTTCTTTTTTTTTTTTCTTTTTTTGTAATTAGTTCTTAATTTTTTTAATTTTTTGTTTCACTAAATATTGATATTTTGATATGAGTATTACGTGTGTATTCTTTATTAATTAATGAGTATTGTATTATGAACATCACATAAATATTACTACGAATATATTTAAATTGTATTTTTTTTAAACATAAGTTTTAAAAAATGATGAATATTATTATGTTAGAGTTCTTTTAATTTTAAGGTTCTTCCGATCTTCACGTTCTTGATAAGTAAGATGGTTGGGTTGAAACAATTTTTTATCCTTTCTCTACTATATATATGCAACAACTCATAAAGACAATGAAATATGAATATATTAAGTTAACACTGTTAGATGGTTTATACAAATTCGATTTTAATGTGGAAAATCTTTTTTTTTCCTGAGAATAAGGCCTCTAATTCCAAAAAAATAAATTGAATTGTTTAGTTATCTCTAATCTTAGAATGTCTAAAAGAAAATACTACTAACATGCATGTTTAATCAATTTATTTTATAAAAATAAAAAAAAAAGATAAATAACCCAAATTGTAACCAAAATTAAAGGAATCGACCCCGTTTATCTTACTTGGGCGATATGGCACCCACGACCTCCAAATCCTAGATCCGCCTCTGAAGATGAGTATTATATATGTTTGAATATACTTATTATGTACGTCAACTCGTCAATAGCGGACACATAAGAATTTTTTTAAAATGTAAAAAAGTAGATACATATACTAGCCAAAAGATATTCAATATCTAGTGTATATATAAAGAAATAATTTTAATCATGTAGGAAGAATATAATTAAGATCTTTAAGTTATCTAATATAATTCTAAATACAAGAAAATAGTATCAATTATTTTGATGTTAAAAACGTCACCTAAAATAAAAGATGGAAGTGATTGCTACTCATTCAGACCATATCCAACCCACATCTATTTTACTCTTCATTCTTTATATTTGGAGAGTAAAATAGAGAATTGGCACTCAAACCCACCTCTATATCACTCTCAATTCTTCATATTTAGAAAGGTGAATAGTAGTTCTCCAAATTTGGAGAACTACAATTTCGCACTCTCTATTTTACTTTTTGTAATATTTTATTATTATTTCTATTACTTTCTAA